GAAAAGCGTCTGGACTTCTTTAAGTTGCTTGAAGACGTTTCATCTCTCATCCGAGAAGCTTCTTCAGTTCTAAGGTCAAATGGTGGAGAGTCCCAGATCTTTGCAAGCTCCTTGACTACGATGACCTGGATGACTGAGAATCTTCACATTTTCATTGTGAGTCAACATGACCACAGCATTAGATCCAGATCAGGTCTTTGCTTCACAGACAGTCGTCTGATCGTATCGAGGATATTTGGTTGTTTGGAGGTATTTCAGCTGAACGTCACTGACAACTTAGGACCACTGACTTGTTTCTGATGGAGTTCATTTACATTAGGACTCACTGTTCACCTGCACTCTTTGTTCCTCTACACTCGTATCAACACAAATCATCATGTTTTTGTTACTGAGACTTTTGGAAAGAGTGTGAACTACGATTGTAGCCTTTTTCAGGATATAGTTCTTTAATAACTGTTGTTAATAAAGGGTAAATGTTTATTTTGCTGTTGGGATTAAAATGATTGTCTTCCAGATGTTTTGATGTAACATTTCAGATGTTTTATGATTCTAATCTTTGGGAGCTGTAAAATTAAACATTTTCATGTGTGTTTGATGTTTATAGATGTGACTGCATGTTAACTGTATTTTGATGCATTTGCTGATTTGCTGACTTTGTTCTTTTAAATGTCAGGATAGATTTCTCCTCAGATCATCAAATATTTACACTGAAGGAGGAACTTTACATTTTTCACACTCCTGTGTTTGTTAAAGTGGAAACCGTAAGTGGTAAATTTTTTTTACCCCCTGTGTAAGACTGTTTAAAAAGAGGAACATCAACTGTTACCTTTAGAAGGTTTATATCTAGAAAGCATAATTTAAACCCTTTGGGTTTTGAAATCAGAGCTGAAAAGGTTTCACTTTATTACACAGCAGTCATAAAAATAAGTTTACACAGCAGGACTGCTTCGCACAGACAGACATGACAACATGAAGATCTTATTTTTAGGCCTCACCCTGCCTGGTCCTGACTAATGTTAGAAGTTAAACAGGTTTGACCAGGTTGGAAGTTGAGTGGGAGACTGTGGGGGAACACCAGGAGTGCACAACATGTAAAAAGTATTTACAGAAGATATTTTGTGAAGTTTATTTCTGTCCGTTTGACGTTTCCTCCATACTGGATACAAAACAGCTGCTGCATCGTCACAGAGTCAACTTACAAACTCTCCCTGTGCTCACTCAGAGCTTCACTGTCAGTAGATGGCAGCACAGCCCACGATTGAACCTTAGGAATAACCGTCTGATTAACCTGGTGCTACTTACTTTTCCTAAATCAGCTAAACGAACTTCTGCTTTCAAGTAACTTCACACTTGGCACCATGTGTCATAATATTTAAAATGGGGAACAGTGGTCAGGTTTGATAATAAATGAATAAAAACGTCCTTCATAGACTGATCCACTGTTCGTGGACACCTCCAAATATGAACATTAGACTGTTTATTATGAGTTTTGGCTTCATGGAGGATTTACATTTTACATTTACATTTGAGTCGGTAGAGGACATTATAGGCTGGTAGTTTTTGTTTTGTTTTTGTGTTCGTTGTTGTTCTTGCAATCACACAAAAACTGCCAAAGAAGAATTCTTCTGATGAACCAGCTGACAGCTGCTGAAACTGCTGAGTGTCAGGTTGATGAAATCAGCAGCCTCACAGAACC